ACTCACAGACGGAGCCGAGTGGTCCGGCGGCGGGTCGATCGCCGGAGAGGGGCAGGTTCGGCGTCATCCGTTGGAGCGGCAGGTGCCTTGGCCTCGGCGAGGTCGTTGTCAGCGATGTTGGCGACCGGCTCGGCGACGACACCCTCAACCACAACAGCCTTCTCGGCGGCAACCTTGGCGGCGGACGCCTCCTTGACAGCCTCCACGTTGACCTCTTCGGTGGCAGCGTTGGCGGCGGCGGCAGCCGCAGCCTCCAGAGCGGCGAACTTCCTGAGCCTTTCTTTGCGGTTGGGGTCATCCGTTGGAGCGGCAGGTGCCTTGGCCTCGGCGAGGGCGTTGTCAGCGATGTTGGCGACCGGCTCGGCGACGACACCCTCAACCACAACAGCCTTCTCGGCGGCAACCTTGGCGGCGGACGCCTCCTTGACAGCCTCCACGTTGACCTCTTCGGTGGCAGCGTTGGCGGCGGCGGCAGCCGCAGCCTCCAGAGCGGCGAACTTCCTGAGCCTTTCTTTGCGGTTGGGGCGATTTGCTTTCTTACTCGTGGTGGCCTTCTCGGCGACAGCCTGCTTCACTTTGACCTCAGCCTTCTCGACGGCAGCGTGCTCGGCGTCATGCGTTGGAGCGGCAGGTACCGCCTCGGCCTCGGCGTCGGGGAGGGCGTTGTCAGCGATGTTGGCGACCGGCTCGGCGACGACAGCCTCAACCACAACAGCCTTGTCGGCGGCAACCTTGGCTGATCCCCCGTCGGCCTCCTCGGCAAGCCGCTGCTTTTTTCTGGTCGCTTTACCAGGCCTGTGTCTTCGCCTCTGGGAGATGGTATGGGCCGTGCTGGTTGCCTCGGAGGCGGCCTCAGTTTCCTGGGTTTCGCTGTCCTTGGTTGGGACGTTCCCAGTGGGGGCGTCGACGGTGGCCACAGGTAAGAGGTTGGCTTTCCCCGGCAAGGACAGCAAGCAGTCCTCAGAGTCTTCGAATGAATACCTGCGTTTCAGTGAAGATGTGCGACCCTGAAATGCAGAAAAATAGGTAGGCTCAGTCATGTGTTTGTAGGGCTCTCGTCATTGCACGTGTGCACCACTTCGGCTACATGCCTCGGCCAAATTTCCCGTGTGTTCCTTGCATCCCCCTCCTCCCTCCCTCTGAAGTCCCCTTGGACACCTTATGCCGGCGGACCGCCCGAGTCAACGCCGTTGGCGCGCTGTGGGGAGGGAGCCTGTAGCTGTAGCGCCTGCGAGGTAGGCCACCGTCACGTCCCGCAACACACCAGTGTGGAGATGGTGGCCTACCCTGCAGATCGCAGGCGCTACACGGCCATTTGGCCGGCGTAGTTCACGTAGTCTCGCGTAGTCCCACATACATAATCTCAAGAAGTCCCACGATAAGTCTAGCGAAATCCAAGTAATCCCGTTGTCCTATGTACGCCAAAAACCTGAGTGGCGGCCCCCTCAGGGTCCCCGACCCTTGCGCCTGTACTAACCACCCCCTTCCCCCTCCCCCCGCCTGGAGGAACTCCTTGACCTGCTCGTCCGGCTCGTCTCTGCCCTATGGTGGCAGACAGGCAGCAAGCTTGCTCCAGTGACTGATGTCGTGCGTGAAGCTACCGGTTACACAATGCAGACTGTTCTTCAAGACCTCCAGAAGCTGGCCACCAAGTTCGTGACCACGCCCACTCCGGCCGCCACCAAACCTAACTCTGACCCCACAGGTCCATGGCACATGGGCAAGGCAGCCCCCGCCGGGCACGCGGATGCGGATGTCGCCGCAGTACAGGAAAGCACGGCTCGGCACGGCTTTTTTTGACCAAACCCACCCAGGGCGAGTACGAAGTAGCCCAAGCCCTCCAAGCCCAACACCCAGGTGGACGGGGCGTGGCCCTATTCATCAAAGTCACCCTCGCATAGAAGGTATTCCAACCCGATCTCCCACACGCCCTTGGCCTCGAAGCAATCGGCGGGCGCATCCTAACTGACGGCGCTTCGGCTCTGAGCGGGACACAGCGCGTGCGTACCCACCAGGGCCTGGACAGCGTTGGAACACAGAACAGCATCGTGACAACGCCCTGTGGGGCAGCCCGACCACAGACGGCCGGGGCCGCGTTGTGGTGACGACAGGGTGTGTGTCAACGAGGGCTGGGGAGCCCTCGTTGACACACGAGGGCTCGTTGACCAGGGTGGCCAACGCCGGCCAGCGCGACACAGCTGACGACCTGACGATCGTCAGATCGTCAGGACGCCCGCTCGGCGCCCAGCTAGCAACCCTTAGATGGGGTTGGCACTTGGCTAGGCAGCCACGCCTACCTGACCGCTAGCCGCCCGCACGGTGGTGCTGCGTGAGTCGGCAAGCCACGTGCTGAGCACGCTGACGGCGACCCAGCAGACAAACTTCAACGAGTCCACAGAGGCATCACCAGAGCTGTAGGGCCCACCGAGAGGGCGACTGGGGAAAGGGAGGTGGTTGGTGGGGCAGGGGCTAGCCCTGTTGATGACTGTGCGAAATCGCTCTGCTGGACAACGCGCTGCAGACAAGGTTTGGGAGAACGCGCCCTCGCAACATCGCTGTGCAGAGCGTGAAGGCGGCGCGCGAGCAGCCCGACCAGAGCCTCCGGGAGTTCGGGGTGCAAATCGACTGATGTGTGTTGTGCTGGGACACATACCAGGACGACCCCATCATTGGTCGATCACCACAAGCGGGTCCCCGACAACTTCACGGACCCGGCAACCCGGCGGCTGCTGCTCATGTCACGCCCAAGCGACCTCACGACGGCGTTGACGACCGCCAGCGAGTTCGAGAATGCCCCGCGCGTGAAGCGCGTCCGTCAGGTGGAGGTCGGAGTTGCTGCTGCGATGTCACAAGAAGGCGCCGGAGATACACACGACCCCAGCCCGCTGATTGCTCATTTCGCGGAGCTGACGGCCGCGAGGTTGGACGTCGTGAGCGCGAGATGTCCACACGACGCGGCCACCAACATCCAGATCGTCAACGCGGCCTAGTTGGAAGGGCCTCCGTGCGAACCTGCACGTTCGCGTTCGACGTGAACCTGTGCCTCCTGGCTCACCCAGCTGACTGATTCCTAGTCGTTTTCGTTGCTCTGTCTCTCTCGCACCGATAGCGGACACCCCATAAGTGCGAGAGAGATAGAGCGACGAAAACGACTCTAGGAATTACTCTGCTGGCGAGCCGCGGTCCCAGCCGACCGATTCCGAGAGTCGACTTGCTCACTCGGTCTCTCTCGCACCTAAAGGGGACGCCACGGGAGTGCGAGGGAGGCAGAGCGACGAAAACGACTCTCGGAATCAGTCTGCAGCCGCCGCCAAGCGCCCCCTGTTGGCAGCGAGCATTTCTGACTGGGCTCCTTCGGGTTTGTAGGCTGGCCGCGGTGTGCCCCGAAAAGCCGTGGTAGGCGCGGTAGCACTGACGAGAGCTCCGCCCCGCCTGCGGAAGGCACGAGAGCCCGTGCGGTGCTGTGCCGTCAAGTGCGAGGGAGCCAGCATCACCAGCATGCTCCGGTCCCAAAGCCTTCGCGGCTTTGAGTGTTTCGTTCGGGAGAAACCCCCACCTCCGCTTACAGCCCCACCCCCCCCCCCCTTCCCCCCCCCCCTCTCCCTAGAGACCCTCCCGGGACGGGATGGATGGAACTAGGGAGGGACCCTCAGATGGAACATAACAAGTTAACCTAAGTTTACAGAATTAAGGGATTTGTCAGTTTTTGTTGCAGTAGTTTTTGGAGAAAATAGTGACTCTTTATGATATTTGGCAAGCACTGAAACACTCAGGCTTCTTATTTGGTCCGTTTAAGTCAGGTCAACAGTTTGGAACCCCTCTGGCAAATCATAACAAATTGCCAGAGAATCTTGAGAATAAAGAAAAAGAAATTAAGACCTTCAAAAGAGGGTTAAAAAAAATAGCTGTTAGAAAGGGCTTTTGGATATGGGATTGGAAATGACGTTATTTTGTGTTGTTCTGTTGATCCTGATAAAATGAGGACTTTGTTTATGTTCTCTGAAGGTTCTGGATCTTGATGTACCAGTGTCATGTTCCGTATTGATCTCAATGTATTTCGCTTCATGTATGATCGAATAAACAAACTATTCTCACCATGTTTGTTAGTGTTGCAGATAATTCACACTTACCGCTGTCATCTTTGGGTCCCTCGATTTGTTCATAGACACACTGAATCTGGACAGGAAGCAGTTATCCTGGGGAGGTGTGGGCAAGACGATGTCAGAGCTGCTGGAGCTCCCATATTGGACCTGGTAACACAGTTATTTAAAATGAAGAATGCCTCATGCCAATTGGTATAGTTCGTTTCTCGACAATGTTTTCTAGCATTCCAGATAAGTCGACACTTACCACTTCTTCTGGCAAGGGTGGTGTAGGTGGTATAATGGGTCTCTCATTTGTATTCCCACGACAACCACCAATTGAGCTGCTCTCGGTGTCACTACTTACACTCGGGAAAAAATCCTGTAATGAAGGAAGCCTAGGTAAGCTACATATTCTTTCAGGTTTTTTCTTTCAAAGAAACTTTTTTGAATTTAAAGTCTTGTAGAATGCTAGCTTATACAAACAATAGTCAGCATGAATATTTTAAAAGGTTCTATTTTTAAATGACTTTCAGCCATTCAGAAAGAGCTTCAAAGAATACAGATGAAAACCTTCTCATGGGAGTTCATTACATGAATTCAAACAAGCCCTTAATACTCACTAAAAGCTGAGATAAGGAGTTGCCCTGTGGAGTACCAAGGTGCTGTGCACTTCTGACTTGCTCTCCAGTGACATCCTCTTCATCCGCAAGCACATCCTGTAAAAAAAGAGCACCCAGGTAAGCTATATATTCTTGTAGATTTTTTTCCCTCAATGATACTTATTTGGTTTTATAAAATGGTAGCTTATACACAAACAATAGTTAGCATGATTTAAGTAAAGTATTTTTAAATGACACCCTATCCTGCAGAAAGTACTACAGAGAACATAGTTGAAAACTTGCTCATGGAAAGTTCATTACATAAATCAAAACAGCCCTGTTACACTCACAGACAGAGACCGCTGAGACTGCCTCAAGCTTGCAAGGTGCTGTGCACTTCTGACTTGCTCTCCAGTGACATCCTCTTCATCCGCAAACACATCCTGTAAAAAAAGAACACCCAGGTAAGCTATATATTCTTGTAGATTTTTTTTCCTCAATGATACTTATTTGGTTTTATAAAATGGTAGCTTATACACAAACAATAGTTAGCATGATTTAAGTAAAGTATTTTTAAATGACACCCTATCCTGCAGAAAGTACTACAGAGAACATAGTTGAAAACTTGCTCATGGAAAGTTCATTACAAAAATCAAAACAGCCCTGTTTTACTCACAGACAGAGACCGCTGGGACTGCCGCAAGCTTGGATGGCAATCACAGATGCTGTCATCATCAACATTCTGCAATAATACATTGGCAAAATCATTACATTTTTAAATGTATATTTGCTGTTTATTATTATTTCTTACCAAAAAATAGTTTTTAACGCTCTGAAAAGGTGTATACTGTATTTGATCCAGGAAGCGGAAGAAGGGGATAACTCCATTTTGACCATTTTGCAGGAGAAACAAAAAACTGTTAGCAGGAAAATCTAAAACTAAACAATGGGATGTTATAGATGATAACAAGTTAAAAAAAAGTAAGTGGATTTTCTCTTTAACTGCTAGGAACTGAGTCAAATAATTTGGTGCAATGATGCAAACCATACTAAAGTACAACAAAATAATAAAAACTCAATTTTGAGATAAGTCGATTTATTCCCTTCTTTCGGTTCCTGGATCAATTTAATCTTGCACCCGTACAACTCACCTGAGACATCCGCTTGGCTTCTGGTGAGACTGGAGGCGCCAACGAGTCCATCCAGGCCCTATGAGCTGCCCAGTCAACATCGGCATACAGCTGTGGAGCACCACAATTGTCGTCCCCTGCAGGGCTGATGTGACCACCACTGTCTTGAGTTCTCTGCAATACAATATGATACAGGTAAAAACATTTCATTGTTAGATGTAGTTTTGTTTTCAACTATTGTTTTCTTATTAGAAGAATGGAATTTTTTGAAGTGTGCGTAATTGTACTAGCTCTTGCTCCTCCCCCTAATATTAACTATACCAAATGTACTAATCTATCTCCTATCAACAATATATTTGACAGAGTCATGTTGACTTTGGTTGAGTTGTTTCCATTTACCGCTAAATTGAGAGAGTAAAAGGGGTCAAGTTGAGCTACATCTTGTTTCAAAGTGGATTTTCTCTTTAACTGCTAGGAACTGAGTCAAATAATTTGGTGCAATGATGCAAACCATACTAAGGCACAACGAAATAATAGAAACTCAATTTTGAGATAAGTCGAATTATTCCCTTCTTTCGGTTCCTGGATCAATTTAATCTTGCGCCTCCCAGTTATGCACCCGTACAACTCACCTGAAACATCCACCGGGCTTCTGGTATGTGTGGAGGCGCCAACGACTCCATGCGAGCTAACGCGCCTATGAGCCTCTGCCAAGAAAAACACACAGGGAATGAAATTAATCTCCAGTCTTGTTCATAGGCTCTTGAACTTAGTCTGTGGTATTACTTACATTCAGTGGTGTTTCAATTTCTTCATCACAGTCCTCATCACTGCTTTCAGGGCGGGCGGCACCTGGGCTGCAACCGGCTCGTCGTCCACCTCCCCTAGCACGTCCTGCATGGCGACCGTCGCGTCGTGGTGATGGGTACCCAAAACGAGATGAACGATGTTTGAACATCTGCCAAGAAAGACACACAGGGAATGCATTTAATCTCCGCCGATGTTCACAGGCTCTTAAACTTAGTCTGTGTATTGCTTACATTCAGTGATGGTGACCCATTCTGAGACTGCATTGATAGGTCATCTTCATCTTCCTCATCACTGCTTAGCACAGCACGGCGGGCGGCACCTCGGCCTGCAGCGTGGCCGTCGCGTCGTGGAGGTGGGTACCCAATACTGGATGAATGATGTATGAGCATCTGCGAAGAAAAACACACAGGGAATGCATTTAATCTCCGCCGATGTTCACAGGCTCTTAAACTTAGTCTGTGTATTGCTTACATTCAGTGATGGTGACCCATACTGAAGCTGGATTGATGGGTCATCTTCATCCTCCTCATCACTGCTTGGCACAGCACGGCGGGCGGCACCTCGGCCTGCACCGCGGCCGCCGCGTCGTCCACCTCTCCTACCACGTCCTGCTGGCGGTGCCCTCGGTGCTCCTTGAGGTGCCGGGAGGTGCACTTGCTGGTTCTGGAGTGCTGGCTGGCAACCTGCAACGCGGCCGTCGCGTCGTCCACCTCCCCTACCACGTCCTGCTGGTGGTGCCTTCGGTGCTCCTTGAGGTGCCGGGAGGTGCACTCGCTGGTTCTGGAGTGCTGCCTGTCCTGCTGGCTGGCCACCTGCACCGCAGCCGTCGCGTCGTCCACCTCCCCTACCACGTCCTGCTGGTGGTGCCTCCGGTGCTCCTTGAGGTGCCGGGAGGTGCACTCGCTGGTTCTGGAGTGCTGCCTGTCCTGCTGGCTGGCCACCTGCACCGCAGCCGTCGCGTCGTCCACCTCCCCTACCACGTCCTGCTGGTGGTGCCTCCGGTGCTCCTTGAGGTGCCGGGAGGTGCACTCGCTGGTTCTGGAGTGGTGGTTGGTGCCGCAAAGGGAGCACGGGTCGGGGGCCCACCTGAGCTACGGCCAAAGGCACCGGCACAGGGTCGGGCTGCGCAGGTGGCAGCACGATGTCTTGCGCAGGTGGGAGGATGATGCGTTGGCTTGGCATGGCCACTGGTTCTGGTCTGATGGTCCCCGAGAACTCGGGGAAGTCCCTGAAGATTAAAGGAACATTGTACATTTTGTTTTCAATTTGACAGAAAACAGCAGAACAAGCAAAAGTACCGGAAGAGCCGCATCATACGCAGTCCTGTCTCGTTTTCTTTGTTCAGCCAGCCCTGCATGAACTGCCATACATCATCAATTCCCTTCAGCCCCCTCTCCAGGTTCTTGATGAACTCTTTTCTCTGAACGAGGGCAGTCATTGCACGTCTTTGGAGGGCAGGTGTAATGCCCTTCCTCGTTTTATCATAATGCTGCTGCTCCTCATCCCGGATTGTTCCTGTAAACAAAATAGAGGGTCACTTAGATGCGCACACATGCACTGAGAAAACAAATGCAGAGGATTCCGCACAATCTGATGCGGTGTTATTTTCTATCAATTTGACCACACTAACTGATGCGGAGTGTGCCTAACTGATGCGGTCTTTGTTTTGACCGCATGAATTTAGGTGGACTTCAAGATCCCACGATATTTGCAGCAGTGGCAACTTCCCTTCCCAGTCCATCCTCTAAGCGGTTACGTTTGCTTGGCCATCCTATTTACTTCTTAAACAATATTATTTGGGAAACCAGAACATACCTGTCATGTACATATTTGTTACGCTGAGATGAGTGTAAAGTAAAGTTAACAGCGATCAGCTTCAGTAGAGAGCCGTAGTTTGTTTTTTTTTTTAAAAAAAAAACAATGATTGAAACTGCATTTTGTTAGAGATGAATTGTCACAAAATTTTAAAACACAATTCAAATTATTTTTATCTTTCAAGTCCTCTGCAGTCTTGGGTGAGAACAGCACTGAGGTTTCCAATGCTGTCCAGCCCATGGCAAGGTTGAGGTTAAGTCACCGGGCTGCTTTGGCAGAAATATTTTCTATGCCGCAATATAGAAGCGTGTCAACACACGCGAAGCACTACAGTACAACTGTGATTTAGTAATATTCATAATTTTATGGTTTGAAACATCCACAACTATTGAAAATTCGTTTTTTCACACACAGAAAGTTCAAGAACACACACTCTCACAGTGAACAACAAACAACATAAAGATAGGAGTGCCAACCTAACGTGGTAGCGTTAAAATGAAACTTACTTTGGATGCATATTAGGGATTTTTACGCAAATGGTATGTTTATTAAAGCTTAAAATTTGATGAACTATTCACACAAAAGAACAACATTTTAGTTTACTGTCTGACTCAAAGGTGTTACTTTCTTATGTTGGCACTCCTTTGTTTTTGTTTAGCTTATTTATTTTGTTGTTGATCATGACAGCGTGTCAGAGTATGTTTTGAAAGATTATTCCATTGAAAGCGTTCTTGCAATGGTTTGGAATGATTCAGACCCTGAAATTATGAAATTACCTAAATCAAAGAAATGCTGTAGTGCGTCGTATGCGTTGACTTGTTCAAATACAGCAGCACAGACAATTCTTCTGTCAAGCAGCCGGCTGCTTTGCCTTACCAGCACAGCCTGGCTCATAAAAACCAGTAATTAGGCAAAAAAATTATTTAAAGTGATGAAAAGCAACAGTTTGATACTGCATTTAGAACGATATCCAGTGTCAACCAACATTTTACAAAGACAAAATGATTATTTTGTGGCTTGCTGTTTCAAACACACGATATTTACTCATCGCAGCGTTACAAACATTTACATCAAAGGTATGTGTTGGTTAGTCAGAAGTAAATGAGAAGGCACAGTAGATACCATTCCCTTCTGGTTGTCCAATAAGAGACGGAAAGTTGGAATTCTCCACATTTGTTTTTTCACTGCAGTATTAATACACACGACATCCTTGGTACATTCCATGACAGAATAACAGGCCTTGAGACAAAGGTTGTCAGAATTGGCCGAAATTTATTTTGGTGACTCTTCCTTACTAGTAGACTCTAAAAAAAAAACTGTTTTTATTCTTTGTTTTTTTGTTTAACAATTTTAACGACTAAAAATAAGAAATCCAAACGTCTCAAAAGACATTATCATGGATTTGGTTGAAAACTTTTTGGTACCTTCCCCTATTAGTGTACTAAGAGCCTGCAGTCATCAATTGAGGGCTCCATGTACAGGAAAGGAGAAAAAAATATCAGTTATGATGAGATTTTTTGTCACTGTTATGGGCTAAATCGAGACTCTGTGGATTCAGTTTCATGTTTGACCTTGCTTGGGTCCCACAATTGAAAAAGCAATTGATTTCTTTCAAAACTCTCATTTCCCAATATCTCAGGCGTTTTGTCTCTTGTTCTAGAAGTTTTGAATCAGATCATGAAATAAATTAGTGGCATATTTACTCCAAAGATTGGAGGGATTGGAGTAAATACTAATTTACTTCATAACCTGATTCAAAAATTCCAGAATAAGAGTCGAGAGGCCTGAGATACAGCCAAATAAGAGTTTGAAAGTAATCGATAGCTGTTTCAATTGTTGGTCAAACATGAGACGGAACTCACAGAGTGTCAATTGAGCCCAAAGCAGGCTCAATGCAGGCTCTTAGGACGCCAATAGGGGAAAGTACCAAAAAAGTTTCATCCAAATCCATGATGACTCCTTTTGAGATTTTTGAATCTACAAATGTTTTGTCATTAAAATTGTTGACCAAAAATACAAAAAAAAATTCCCCCCAAAAATGTATTATTATTTTGTAGTGTAATCAAGGAAGAGTCACCAAAAAAGTTTGAGCCAATTCTAACAACCTGTGTCTCAAAGCCTGTTATTCTGTCATGGAATGCACCCCTTTCACTTTTTGGAAAATACTTACTGTGAACTGCCCAGAAACCAGGGTTCTTCTCCTGCTGCGCGTTGAACCACCTATGGCTTCCCTCCAGAGGTGAAGTGGTAGAGTTTTGAGGATTTCCAAAGACTGAGAGCTCCTCCTGGAGGGGCTCCAGGAACTCCGTATCAAAGTGGCTGAACAGCTGGCGGACCCTCTGCGTCCAAAGGCCCTTGTCATGGAGGGAAGGTATTATCAGGGTGTTCACAGTAGGAACAATGAGATCGAATTTCAGCCGCGGGACCAGGAGCAGCATACGGAACCCCAACAGTAGCGCATGACTAGAGTCAAGGAAAGCCCTCAGGCGGCAGATCGATTCGGCATACAAGATCATGGCCTAAAATTGCAAAGAAAACAATGTTAAAATTGGCGTGCATGCGATGTCAACCGTACTTTGAAGAATGTGTCAAAAATACCTTCAGGTAATGAAAATAGCAGTAGAGGATCATGAAATGCACTCCTCCACCGAACACCTGCCTGAGGGCATTTCTTTCGGCCGGCTCCTTATCAGTCATTGCCTTCCTTATTACAAGTCCTTTGTCCCGCAGCGCCACGAAAACACCAAGGTAGGCCTCCGTCGATTTGCTCTCCATGACCGCCCAAGCGACCAGGATGATCTGAAAGGAATAAAGGCAAATGATGAATACCATAATTTTTAGCAGCTTTCAACGGCCCGAAGGTATGCGCCGGCTGGCCGAAGCACCCCAACAACTCACTTTGGTCATGCTGAGGACGCCCAGCCGCAGAACTTGTCGCGACGGCGGGTTGGACGGCGCTGAGTGAAAGGTGGCGTCTATGAGCGTAGCGTGTTCTGGGTTGCGCACCGCCTGGTTGTGCCATCTGATCATACGATCGGAGGTGAAGACGATGGCCTGATGGCCTGGAAGCCCTGTCCTCTTGACGAAGAGCGTTTGCTCTCCGTCTCGAGTCAGCCCTAGGTCCCTCCAGTCGCCAGTAAAGGCCTCCACGACGTCCGCGTAGGAGTCCGGCTCATGTGGCGTAGCTCTCTCGGTCCTTTTCCGGAGGCACTCAATCACTACCTCGACGTCCATCACATCGCGGATCTCCTGTGGCAACCTGCAAAACCATTATTCAGTTATGTTCTGAAGAATGAGGAGTTGCCCGCTGGCAGAGGTCGCGTGACCCTAGTTCAAGAGGGCTCCCGGTTTGGACTCCGTCCACGACCCCACTGCACCTCGGCGCTCCGCCGGCCACGCTGACGGCCGCACAGCCCTGCAACTTTCATGAGATGCTGGAGCTGGACACGCCCTGCAGGCCGAGTTTGGCACTCTGTGACCATCCCGAAACGTCAACGTCCAGAACCTGAACGCACTCATCACGAGTTTGCCGCGCTGCTTGACCGGGGCTCACGGGGAGCCCCTGGGGGGTAGGCCGCAAGGAGGCATGCGTGCGTGGCGGAACCCACAGGCGCCTAGGTGAGTGCGCCACGAGACCGGCGAAGGCGGCCAAAATTGTAGACGCGTTTTGTGCGCCAGAGTCGCTAAATGGGACTTACACAGAACATGTGACCCCACCAATGACTTCCTCGTTCGGAGAGCAATCCATTGGTGGGGCACACGTTCGGAGGGCTCTGCGTCCGGCGCGTCCGGCCGCTCGATGGAGGACACCTTCCTCCGTTGGAGCAAGGCGTCGACGGCAAGCCAGGAGCAGGCGACGGACGTTTCGCGGTTTCGCGGCCTCGCGGCCTCGCGCACCGTTGAGTCAAGACGTGGCGGTGACGCGAAGGCGCTATGGCGCGAAAAACGCGTGGACCGCGGTGCAGGGGCCATTCCGGCGCGCCCGCCGAGTCGAGCATAGGCAACCCGCTCACCCGTTGCGTGTTACATTTTACACCCAGTCCCGCAACCGGGCGCCGCGGCCCGCCTCCGTCCCCGACCCCGGGTTTGACTGCACCATGCCGTGGGTCAACCTTGATACGCAGTTCCAAGACGCGGCGCGGGGGTTTGGCTGGACCGACGCCGAGAAGGGACGTAGCCTTCTCTGTGTCCTCCATGGACCCGCGGCGGCGCTGCTGCAGAGACCCTGCCGCCCGCCCGGTACACCGACTACGCAGCGCTGCACGCCCGCCTGCTAGAAAGGTACGGGCCGGCCGCCCGTGCCCGCGTCGCCGAGGCGTCATTGGAGCACCACCGGCGGAAGCCCACGGAGGGCACCCGCGAGTACGCCGTCGCCGAGTTGGGGTTGGTACGCGAGGCGTACCCCACCTGGGCGGAGGATGCGCTGCAGCGTCAACCGGTTTCGTTAACCGGGACATCCGCCACCGAGACCCAGACTCCTTCGCCGAGACCTGTTCGCAGCCCTCCCGCTGGAGGCCGCCCACCAAGCGGAGCAGCCTTGGCGAGTGATACAGCTACGTGCCCGCACATCTCGCTCTGTCCCTTTCACACTCATGAATTGCACCGCAGAGGTGCGATAGAGACAGCGAGAAGTGCTGGCAGCGTAGGGGAAGAGCCCTCCATCTTTGCAGCAGCCACCCACTAGGACGGCGACGTGCGCGTGGCCGCCGCCCGTCCCCCAGCCAACGAGGACCGGTCGCTGGTGGCCGAACTCCGTGACCTGCTGCGAGAGGTGCGGCGGCCTGGCGGGCGCACACGATGCGAGACCTCCACGGGGGGCCGTCGTTCGGGAAAGAACAAGTAGTCCTGTCGACGGGCGCGACAACGGTTACCATCGCCTCCACCGCCCAAGCTGCACCACGGCGCGGCACAGTGGGCCAGAAGACCGTGGAGGCGGCCAAAACTCTAGACGCGTTTTGAGCTCCTGAGTCGCTAAACAGGACTCGAACCACGCGTTTGACCCCACCAATGGATTGCTCCCCGAACGAGGAATCCATTGGTGGGGTCACACATTCGATTCGAGTCCTTTTTAAGCGATTCTGGAGCTCAAAACGCGTCTAGAGTCTAGAGTTTTGGCCGCCTCCACGGTCTTCTGGCCCACTGTGCGCGGGCCCCGGAAGCCCCCCCCCCCCCCCCCCCCGGTGTCACGTGGTTCGCCGCCGGGCTCCTCGACACCCCGCAGTGCCGCTTCTTGCTGGATACCGGTCCTAAGTTTACGGTGGTAAGGCACGGCCCTCAGCATGCAGGTGCAGGACGCGTCCGAGAAGGGCGTTATTGCGCCAAGCTCCGCCGCCCCTGCCGCGTGACGGCTGTCAATCACCGGCGCCGAACTGGCTGTCACTTGCTTCGAGGGCGCTATCCACGAGGAGTGCCTCCTCGGGGGTGACCGTGGCCGCTCACGTGTCAACGTCGACCGGGACCGCCTGATGCTGCGCAACGGCTGCGTCGCCCCATTGACGCGGTTGTCCAAGCTGGGTCACCCTGGAAGGCGTGAAAAGCGGCGCTGGGCCCACCGTCGCAGCACTGGTGTTCGCACGGGGCGTACCCCTTAGGCACGAGAGAGACAGACCGACGAAAACAGTGCTCGGAATCAGTCTCTTGGGGAGCATGGCCTCTATGGTTTGGCGGGTCTCTTACCTCCACACCAAATCCTAACAAGAGATTCCGGTGCCGTCAGTGAATGCTTCCGAGCAGGGTAGTTTTCGTCGCTCTATCTCTCTCGCACTCACGGTGCGTGCGTGGCGGGGTTACATGCGGCTCGCCGCGTTCACCAAGCTGACTGATTCCGCGAGCCGTTTTCGTCGCCCTGTCTCTCTCGCACCGATAGCGGACGTTACATGAGTGCGAGAGGGATAGAGCGACGAAAACGACTCTCGGAATCAGTCTGCAAGGCAAGCCGGCGTGGCACAGTGGGCCAAAAGACCGGTCCAGGCGGCCAAAACTCGAGGCGTTTTGAGCTCCTGAGGAGCAGAGCGGGACTCGAACCAAACGCGTGACCCCACTAGCGCCATCGCTGTCTTCTTAGGGGTGCGAGAGAGACAGAGCGACGAGACGATCCTTCGGAATCAGACGGCTGCCGCCACCCGGCATGCAGTTCCATCTAGTTTTTTTGTGAACGGAAGGTGCCATGGCGTTGGCGCCAATCCGTTGTTAATTTTGATTTCACTGCAACGTGCGGTGATACCAGTTGCTACTAAGTAGGGTAAGATGTACTCACGCCATGGTCCGTTCGGTGTAAATCCTCCGCACCTCCGTTGTTGTCAGGCCACGACAGGCAGTTTTGATTTCCTCGTAGGCAATGGTCCGCTGCATGAGCAGCGGATCTGGCTGACAGGTGTGGTTCTGGTGAACCACATAAGCGCGCAGATCACGCCGCGTGTGACACGCTCCCTTACACATTACACCGGACTTATTATATTTCCGGCACCGGAATTCCAATTTGTCGATGGTGCTATGCCTCTTGTTATACCCGAAGCCATCAGCACTGAAATAAATGTGGGACTCGTCCCCCTGAACTCCCAAAACCGTCACCAGCCGTAGCTCCGGCAGGGCCATGGTTGCTGCGGCCGCTGCAGCCACGCTACTGACAGTAGCAGATCGATGGCCGTTGCCCGCTTGGCGCCGTAGTCGGTCTGCCGCCTGACAGGCTTTGTCGGTTTCCCGCCAAACGAACGACAGCTGATCAGCTGGCTGTAGGTCATTTCCGGTCCGGATTTTATTTACGATATTTGTCGTTCGAAAAATGGTTTGTCCGGCATAAATTAATTTACATGCTCTTATCTTGGAGATGCCTTTCCTTTCCAAATCTACTTCGGGTTTTTATTTGATTTTTGTAGAGTGTAGATTTTTGGCTTGGCGTCGCAGGGGGCGCTAGTGTAGTGTCGTTGTGTTGTTGTTATTTCGCCTCGACATTTCGCCGTCCGTCCGAATTTTTTTTAAAAAAAAATGTTAAGTGTTGCTTGCTTGGTGAGGAAATATTGTTGAGCAGCTAAGCATTGTCTTTTACAAAAGATTCACTTTGAGTCGGTCGGCGGTTAGTGGCCGGGCAGATGGCAGATCCTTCCTCTTTGCTTAGGGCCAGGGCTTGGTCCCATCATGATCGGTCGGAGACGCAAATTTGAAATTGTTCATTAAGTAGACCATCATTTTTTATGAAGCCGCCCTCGCAGAATCATTCCCCTCCCCCTCTCGCACTTCAAATCGATCGTCATTGACTTCGACGTAGGATCGCTGCAAATAAATACTAAAGCGGTGTTGAGGTTAGGATGTTGTTTACAAACTCAGGTTGGCGTTTGCGAAGTAATCATTTCAGACTGGTTAGGAATCCAGCATCATGGTTAAGCTAAATAGAAATCTGCAGAAAAATTTGCTGTCGACCTTTTTTTTATATAACAATTGATTTTTTAAATGTTTTTCTTTCTTAAAAATAAATTTGGTGTAGCAACTTGTTGCCCACCTTGTGTTGAACAAAATTTTGGGCTGTTTGTCTTATCTAGCCAGTGCAACCTAAGACCAAAAAGGTTCACAGTCAGTCAGGTAATAGAAGTTAACATTGTTTTCTTTTTGACGGTTTCATTTATTTTCAGGCTTGAAGATATCAGGTGGAGGCTGTGTTAGCAGACGACAACATGCATCTCACGAGCAGGAACCTATGTTTTGTTTATTTAACCCAGATGCACTGGTGTTTCTGGAGACATTTGCTCTTGGAACCGCTGTCTTATCTGGTCAGTATGATGTATCTTTGGGAGAACTAGTCAGGTATGTCTAAATAGTTTTAAATTTGACAGTTTTGAAATGCTGAAATCATGTGTTTCACTTCTTAATTTTATTTTCAGGCTTGGAAATGTTTAAGGATCCCGAAGCCAGCGGCATTATTTCTGAAGCTGAGAGGTACATCACCTTTTCTGCTTCCTGGCCTTGTTTGAACGAAGCCAGTCTCTTCAATCAATTCAAGCCAATCAATCTCTTCATACCCACTCACTGTAATTGTTTCTTTCTCAAAATAGGTACAAGTCTGTAATTCTGTAAAAGTCTGCATTTTAAACTCTGCTCAGGGAATGTCAAAGTTTGTTTATTTTTTTATTTCATTTTTCAATGGGAGGACCATCTGAAAAGTTCTTGGGTCCATTGGTTTCTAGGGAATATGTATCACCACTTGTCAGTATCCACTTGGGGAGTTTAGCCTCAGGTAAGATTTTGCTCCTTCTGAGCTAACCAAGTGAATTGTTGCAACTAATGGCACTGTGTGGTGCTTGATCTAACTTCAACCTAGTTGGCATAAGCAGTAATAATTTCTTTTTCTGGCTGTCGGCAGACTATAGACTAGATAAGAATCTTACAACAGAGCAAATGCTGCTACAATAATTCCGTTTCTTACTTTCTCTTCTGTTTTTCTTTTATTCAATAGCTCATTGAGTAGCTCATTTAAGTTGCAAGGGATGCTCTGGCTCTCTCGCTCTCTACAGTTTGCTGGCCAGAGCTTTTCTTGGGACTTAGATTGGCTACTGTTTTTTCCTAAATTACAATGTCGTCT